CAACCACACCAACACCCAACCCGTGGGGCAGATACGGAACCTCACATGTATCTGCTCCGAGAGTTAACGGCAGCAAGACACGCCGAGGAGCCAGCATAGCGCCAGACGTCATCAACTACGATACCGGCTGCAAGCAAAGGCAAAGCCAATGGCAGCAGGCGTACAGACAGGCTTACAGACAACACTGCAGACAACATATGTACAGGCAGCGCAGCAACTCCTAACTTTCTAGTCCTGAACAGCAGGGGCGTTGTGGTGCATCAAGGGGTAACTCAAGAAGTGGTGCATCAAGACGGGAGCGAGCCCCAGGTTGGCGCTCACAAGCACGAGCCCGATACCATCAGCTACAAGTGGCACAGCGAAACGCGACCCGACGCCATCAACCACAAGGGTTGTGTCGCGAAGCACGAGTCTGACGTCGTCACCTGCGAGGGAGGTGACGCGACACACGTGCCCGACGTTGTTAGCTACGCGGGTAGTGTCGCGAAGCACGAGCCCGACGCCATCGGCTGCGAAGGTGTTGTCGCCAACCGCGAGCCCTACGTCATCAGCTACGCGGGTGGCGACCCGAATAACGAGCCCGACCCCATCAGCTATCGGGATCATGGCGCGAAGCACAAGCTCGACGTCGTCAGCTACAAGCGCGAGCACGGGGGCCCCGCAGAGAAGGCCAGAGCGGCCGCGGCCAGAAAAGGTGATCGAGGACACGCAGGCCATGTACTACTCCATCCTCGAGCAGATCGACGTGGAGATGGACTACATCATCAGCCAGCTGGAGCACTACGGGGACACGCAGGCGCGTTGGGAGTGGGCCCAGCATCAAGGCCCGATGTACCACCAAGAGTGCGTCCGGTCATGGAGCCGCGAAGCAAGAGCCTGGCGCCATCAACTAAGAGAAGAAGGGCGCCAAGAACGAGCTGTTCATTATTCGTGATCACGGGCTTGATCGGGGGATGTCGGGAGCGGCCAAGAGGGGGGTGTCCAAGAGGGGGGGTGCAAATCATGACCGGCGGCATGTGCGCGGCCCAGCGGGGGGGCCAGGGACGTAATGGAACAAGAAGAGGCGCCATGAAATCTGGGGAAATATCATGGCCCCCGCCATGATATCCCCCCCCCCTATTCATCACCCCCCTCTTTTCCGCCCCCGAGGATGGGGGGGTGGAACTCGTCCCCCCCGATAACATCACGGCGGCGCACGCCGGAACTCCTAAGGACGTCCTCCAAGAATCCGTAGGACATCGACGCCACTGTGGGCAACATAGCGTAACGTGATCCCGGGAGGGGGGGGAGGAGGAGGAGGAGGAGGAGGAGGAGGAGGAGGAGGAGGAGGAGGAGGAGGAGGAGGAGGAGGAGGAGGAGGAGGAGGAGGAGGAGGAGGAGGAGGAGGAGGAGGAGGAGGAGGAGGGGGAGGAGGAGGAGGAGGAGGAGGAGGAGGAGGAGGAAGAGGAGGAGGAGGAGTAGGAGGAGGGGGAGGGAGGGGGCCGATCGCGGCCGTCATCGCCCAGACATCAAGAAAACAGGCTCCAATGGCAGCTCAGTGGCGGTGGCAGCGGGTGATCTGTGCGAGAGGGAACGGCAGCGGCAGCTCGGCTGCGCGAGAAGGGAAGGCAGTGGCAGCAGTAGTGCTATGAGAGCGGGGGCGACAGTGGATGGGCCGCTCAAAAGGTCACGACGAGAATGAGGATAGCGACGAAGAGCCAGAGGAAGAAGGCTACGAGCGGAAGAGAAGGACGAGGAGATGACGCAAGATGACACGGAAGACGAGGAGGAGATCCCGAATACTTCATCGGCTACAGGAGACCCAGCCGGTCCACGTGGGGAACCTCGATTACGACGTGGACTGGCGCATCCTCAGAGACCATATGAGACAGGCGGGCAACGTACTGTGCTGCCAAATGCACACCCACCAAAAACGGCACAGACTTCGGCAGGTCACTCGGGCACGGACGCGTGAATTTTCCCTCTGGCGAGGGAGGCCAGGAAGGAAGGCCATCGTCATCCTCGACGAGATGGAACTCATGGACCGTAGGAGACCCGTGTCTGGTGGTGGGACACTTAATACGAATCGATGCCGTGGCAGACCGCGCCGGCACGAGGATGCACATCATCAGCGGCACCCCAGACCGCCGCGTGCGAGAAGAATGTCAGAACGGCGGTGGGGGTCCTGAGCCCCAGCGATGCGGCGTCTGTTGTGGGAATGCTTCGTAGCAGTAAGAGAGAAAAACTCTGCGAGAGAGAGAGAGAGAGAGAGTCAACGTGAGAAAGAGAGAGAGAGAGGGAGAGACAAGGAGAGGGGGAAACGATGCTGCTGCTGCTGCTGCTGCTGCTGCTGCTGCTGCTCGGGTGCCGGGGTCCACTACCGACCGCAGCGAGTCGGCGTCCATGACGGTGCGCAGCAGCCCAGGCTGCCCCACGGGCTGCGCCACGAACGAGACGGACGGGGACCAGCACAGGCTGGTGCACACGACCTCGTCCAGGTCGACGCGCGTGAACGAGGGGCCTGCTGAAGCTACCATGCGCGACTCACGGGCGGCGAACGTGTCCGTATCCGCGCCCTCGCAATCTGGATTCCGGGGCGCGGGTCCCGCGGATCCGCCGACTCGCTGACGCGTTCCGCGCGGGGCATCCGCAACAAAACCGCTCCGCATCCTCCGGGGGGTCGCGGCCCAGGTGCCCGGCCCGCGAGGCCGCGGGTACGGATGCCCGTCGCTCGGGAGAAGCGGGTAGGAACACGAAGTGATTAGGAAGGCGTCGGGAGTAGATCTGGCTTCCGCCCGCCCTCTGCAGAGGAGGGAAGAGGGACCACCGCTCGAAACTTGAAGTAGGACGGCGCCTCAAGCAGATTGGAATCTGGGGATCCAAACAAAAAACCGCGCTTCCAACGACGGGCGGGAATGTTTCGCGCAAGCGAGCGACAAGGGGCACCGAGGGATGCGGGCCTCGGACAAAAAGGCCACGGTCTCTGGAACAGGCCCTCGCACCCCCGAGCCGCTCACAGGAAGGGCACCGTGGACCGAGGGGCCGAAGATACTGATCAGACCTCATGGGGCGCACAAAGACATACTAATACGATGTGTCCTCCTCGGAAGCGCGCGCCCGACCCGAACATGAGCGTTTCTTTATGCTCGGCGATGACGGGCGTCTTGGGGGGGGGGTGGCGGGGGGGGGTATGACGTAACGCCCCAACCCGCCGTGTGGCTCTGGCACCACAGCCGCCCCCGCGCGCACAACGCGACGAGCGACAAGCGACGAGGACGACGACGACGACGCGAGCAGCATGTAAGTGGCGATCTGCCCCCCTGCGCCTGTGTACACCACAGCGCTCGCGTGCACCCCAGTGCGCGTGTACACCACAGCGCCTGCGTACATCGCAACAACCGTGTGCAACGCAGCGCCTGTGTACACTGCAGTGCTTGCGTACACTACAGCGCCGGTGTACATGTGCACACCGGAGGCAACCATGTGCAACACAGCGCCTGTGTACACCACAATGCTTGCGTGCACCGCGGCGCTTGTGCACGCCACAGCGCCTGTCTACACCACAGCATCCGCGTGCAACGCAGCGCTATTGTACACCACAATGCCTGCGTGCATCAGACAGGTAGAAGGAGCCTGTACGTGAGGATCTGCTGCTGAAGCGCCACGCCAGGAAAGTGCTGATAATCGAATGCGACGTTCTTCCCTCTTCCATTTTCCTCCACTTTCACCTCCTCCTCCTCCTCCTCCTTTTTCTCTTCCTCCTCCTCCTCCTCCTCCTTCTCCTTACCCCCTGTCGTGCGGGTTGGCGCTACAGCGCACGTGCGCAACTCAGCGTGCACCGCAGAATGGTCTATTGAATCGGCCCACTTGGTTCTCAGACGGCCAATTTAGCTGGAGCCTCCTGAACGCAGATAGGAGGAGTGACGGTGATGCGGGCGAACTCGGAAGGACTCGTAGATTCCCCTGGCGCTCCCTGTCCATAAGGATTATGTTCTGGCGTCTTCGGTGGAATCCACAAGCGCTCCATTTTGTCATACTGATTCCTTCTAACATTCTACATACAACAGTGGTGCTGTGTTGCACACGGTTGCTGTGGTGCACACAAGCGCCGTGGTGTACACAGGCACTGCAATGCACGAAGGCATTGTGGTGTACACTGCTGTGTTGCACACGGCTGATGTGGTGTACGCAGGCGCTGTGGTTTACACAAGAGCTGTTGTGCCCGCCCGCGCGGTGGCACAAGCTGACGCTGTGTTGCACGCGGCTGCTGTGGTGTAGATAGGCGGTGTGGTGTACATAGGCGCTGTGGTGCACGCAGGCACTAAAGTGTACACAGGCGTTGTGGTGCAGATCGCCACCTACATGCTGGTGCCACCCGTCCTCTGTCATTCCTAAGCATTCCCAGGCGCCGCCGGCGCGACATGACGCCATCGACCCCCTCCACCCCCCCAGATGATTGCCGTCATCGGCCCGGAATATGTAACAAAAAACGCTCCAGCCGCGTCCGCGCGCACGACGACGATGAGCGACGAGCGACGAGCGACGAGCCACTAGCCACGAGCGACGACGACGACGACGACGACGACGACGACGACGACGACGACGACGACGACGACGACGACGACGACTGCGGACCAGACGCCTATGCGGACTCCTACGCGAACGCCTACGCGGATCCCAATGCGCACGGCGGCAGTGCCCGGAGCGCACTGGGGGGGGAGCGTTACGTCATAGGGGGGGGGGCGGGGGCCATGACGCCCGTCATGCCCCAAGCAATAGAGACATGGTCTCCATACAGCACAGCCATCACGAACAACAACAATTTCCCGAGCGGCACGGCCAGAAAGCGCCCACCACGGAGCTTCTACCAGAAGACTCTGCGGCGCGCGCGTCGCCTCTGGGGTGGCGACGCGCGCACAATATATTCGCACGTTGGAGTGACGCCGGCTCCAGGGCCCCTGACCCTCCGTCGCGGCGGGAAACGACGGCAACCTCTTGCCCCCACGCGGTGGGCGTCGAGCTCCCGCCTCGAGGCCGGCGGGGCCCGCTGCTCCACGCGGGGAGGGTCGGCCCTCGGGGCCCCCGGGGGCGCGAGCGGCGAACGAGGGCTCACGACGGGTGGGTGGCAGAGGGGGGGAAGCGTGCGGGGAGGGCGGGGCGGAGGATGGCAGCCCACGCGGCAAGCTTCCTGGGACCGCTCGGCGGGCTCCGGGAGCCCTGCACCCCGGCAGGCTGGCCCTCTCTTGGGGGCGCATCTCTTGCGTCCGCCGGCTCCCGCCGTCCTTCCGCCGGCGCGCGCCGGCGGAGGCGGCCTTCCGCCGCCCCTCCGCCGCCTTCCGCCGCCCTCCTCGCCATCGCTCGGACGTCCATTCCCTGTGTTTTTGTCGGTCTCGTGCGTGGTTTTTCCGCCAAATGATCCAGGATGCTCCTCGATGGTCCTCGCCGAAGGAAACATGCACACGTCCGAGCGATGCCAAGCCTCCGCAGCGGAAGAGATGGCAACTCCTCCAATGCTCGACGGCGGCAGCGGAACAATGAGCTTTTAAAACATGTTTTTTTTTAACCCAAGTGTTTTTCTCTCGAATTGGCAATTAGTAATGTTAATACTAACTGGAAATAATACTGAATCCATCATACATCAAATTTTTGAAATCGTTATAACAAATTCAAATCCATCATCGAAAGTTTCGAAATCCTATATCGAAGGTTGTTCACTCTATCAGGCTTCGCGGGGGTGCGACGGCCCCGCCAAGCGCGCCGCCCTTCTCGGGGGGGCCCGTGGGTCAAGGCCGCCGGGGTCCGCGGGAGGGGCCTCCAGGGAGGGAGGCCCGGGAGCGGGGGGAGGGGGAGCCGGAGGGAGAAAGGAGGAGGAGGGAGGGAGGAACCCAAGGCGAGGGAGGAGGGAAGGAGGAGGGAGGAGGAGGGAGGGAGGAAAGGAGGGAGGAGGAGGGAGGGAGGAACCCAAGGCGAGGGAGGAGGAGGGAGGGAGGGAGGAGGAGGGAGAAGGACGAGGGAGGGAGGAACCCAAGGCCACGCCAGCAGCGATGCTGGTTGGCAGTGGCGCTGGGCATCTGGCGTTGGCGACCACACGCTCCTACATCCCAGGTGCGCGAGTGCATCGGACAAGAGCGGCACGGCGAGCTGCAGGAAGGCAGGAACCTCGCTTTCCTACAAGTGGCTTGGTCAAGAGCAAACCCCAGCTGCAATACCAAAACCTACGTCGCGGTTGCCTACATCGCCGCTAGCGTGTCTGAATGGGGATAGGGAAGACAAGAGGAGGGGGAGATAATAAGAAGGGGCACGGAATCACATACTAATACTGTGTCCTCCTCGGAAACGTGCGTCAGACTGGAACATATAAGCAACCGTCTTGTAGTGCACCCTTTCCTGCGCGGTATGGCTAGAAAGTGCCCGTCGCGGAGCTTTTACTAAAAGATTTCTCGGCGCGCGTCGCCCCCTGGGGGGGCGACGCACACGTAGTACGAATATGTCGGGGCGACACCGATACGAGGTATGAGCATGGAACGAGGGAGGGGCGAAGGGAACCAGCGTGAGGGGGGGCGAAGGGAAGGATGTGGAGATTAACTGAAGGGAGGACAAACCCAACCCCCCGACGCCGCCATGTTTTCACAACGTGAACCCCCAGAGGTCTCGACCCCGTCTCCAAGACAGCTTTTCTTCCCCAGACAGAGCTTGCACGTAGAGTCTCTTGCGGTCTCTAGCGTCTGTTATAAAGAACTGGGCCTGTCTGGCGGTTTGGCGGTTCCGTGCTCGCCGTCGCCGCCCCGTCGTCGCCTCGTCGCCGCCCGTCGTCTGGGCCTGTCTAAATTCGTGCTCGCCGTCGCCATCGACGCCCGTCTTCTGGGCGTGTCTGGTGGTCTGAAACAAACGGACGAAGTGCACACGCGCGCGTTGTCGCCCGCGCTTGCCAGAATCCTTCAAAACCCTATTGGTTTCGGAAAGATTGCAAAACTCGAGTGTCAACAAAATGAGAACCAAACGCGCAGTTTCGCAAAACGGATTTTCACACAACAAAGAAACCTGCGCGCGTTCGTGCGAATACTTGGAACACTAAGCATAGGTTCTGAACAATTTCAGAAAATGCTGCGCGCGTGCCGTCGCGAGAATCCGTTTGCAAAAAACTGGGACGAAGTGCGTACGCACGTGTCGTCGCGCGCGCATGCAAACATCATTCAAACACCTTCGGTTCGGAGAAATTTCAAGCTCGAGTGTCCACAAATCATTTGTTGTACAAAAGAACTAACGAAAACAATGATATCGCAACACGGATGTTCAACAAAAGCGCGCTCGCGCTCTTGCGACATCTTGGTTGAAAACCGAAAGTTGTTCAACATTTCCATTGCATGCTACCAGACGGGTTTCGCGGGCGCATGCCACAATTTTTCGAACGCCCTTGCGCGCGTGCTCGGGTGCCACGATCCGTGCCAAATAGTACCATGCGAGCCACTCTCGCGCGTCTGTCTCGCGCACATTTCAAATTCATTCCAAAACCTTCATCAC